TATGATGGCTTTGTAAAACAATACAGAAATCTGATAAAGTCAGATAGCCCAGCTCATGTCAAAGGTGATGTCTATTATACTGGTGCTCTAACTTTTACACTGGGATTTCAGAGCTATTCTAAGATCCCACTCCTTTTATCCTTCATTAATATTTCCAGCTTCAAATATTTGTGTGTTTCTGATCCACTAAATCCATGATGGCGAACCTGCAACACGCATGCCATAGGTGGCACACGGAGGCATATCTGAGGGCATGCATGTGCACGCTGGCCAGCTAATTTTTGGCCTTGCGGAGGGCGTGGGGTGGCTGTTTTTGCCCTTTCCAGGTTTCAGGAAAGCCTCTGGAGCCTGGGGAGGGCAAAAAACAGGCGCACTGGAAGTCGGGGAACATGCTGTTTCCGGTCTCCAGAGGGCCTGGGGGAAGGGGGGGCGTTTTCACCCTCCCCAGGCTCAAAGAAAACCATGTGCGCATCCGTGGGGGGGGGGCAGTGGGGGGCACACATGAGCAGGTGGGCACATGGGGGACATTTAATTACGGGTGTGGGCACACACACAAGCGCTTTTGGCACCCAAGGGAAAAAAGGTTTGCCATCACTACACTAAATGGATCAGTGTTTACTTTTTATCTTGGAAGGTTGTTCCTAAAAGACTATACTCTCGAGATGTACTTGTTTTTATGCACAGGTTATCCCTTTTATTCTGAGTATCTTCCCTGACTGAGATATTCTACCTCCATGTGAATACCCATTTCTCTTAATTTACAGCTGCTGCTTCAAAAACCTGGAACACAGAAGGGTGATATTACAAATCAGACAAATCTAAGCTGCTTTTTCTTGTTACTTTACCAGGAATGGTAATTGGACTATATCAACCCCCATCATTTCGGATTAAATATCTCCTTTACAGTCATGCAGTTTTAATTAATTTTCCACAGTATTCATAATGTTACCCTGTCTCTCATTTAAAATTTAATTAAAATCACTTCTGAGATCATCAAAGTTGCAAATTAGACAGATTAGACAAAAGTTTGTTGCAAAGACACACTAAGAATACACATTTAAGGAATGTATAACCAACTATTATGGATAATAAACTGAGGAGTTTTATTTCAGCAATATAAATGGTTCATATCTGGCTCTGACCTGGCAGGTCAGGTTCTGCTAGATTAATAAAATTGAAGTACATGGAAGTGTGGTTTGGATGTGAACTCTGTAATATACAGTCAGTGGGTCATATATTGTTTGATTTAACTTTGACTCCATCACTGTGGCTTGTAAACCATGATTTATGACTTAATATGTTGTGTAATCTCAGCTAATTATAATTCAGAAAATAATGTTCAAATAAGCCATGGCACAGATAGACCATGGCAGTGGAATATGTGAACCCAATCATAATCTGCAATATACAGAATGCAGAAAAAAATACTCTATAACTTCTTGGCCCATGGGTAAAGGTTATTTGATTTTCAAAACTACTCCAGACCAATTCGCAATTTATGGGTATTCTTCAAGGGTAATCTCATGTAGAGTACATTGCAATAATCCATGCAAGAAGTCACCAAGAAATACAAGACTATGAACAAGACTCCTGGGTTAGGAACAGATGCCTTCAATAGGAATCTATGCGAACTGGTTGTTAACATAAGTGCAGCCCATCCCTGAGAAGGATACTGTGGTTGATGGTATCAAAAACTGCTGAGTTCCAGGATGCTTTTTGAAGAACTGAAAGTAAAATTCCTAGTATAAAAATAATATGCCAGTTTAGAGATAGGGGAGAGAAAACAAATATTGTGTGAATATAAAAGCAAATCATGCAATTGCATGGATTTACACTTGTTTCTTAAAATCACTAATATTTAATGTATACACTGTAAGAGTCCAGACTGGCAGTTACTAAGGATATTTAACTATCTTCACATATTGTAATATGGCTTCAATATTCATTGACAATCATTAGATAGGGCGCAGTGTTAGGATACACATACTTTGGCTCAAATGCTCTGTATCACACCTCAATTAAGATCCAAGCTACCCTCTTGTTGGGTTAGCCCTCCTACAGCAGGTTTTCTCTGGTTTCTAGTAAATAAAGAGTGTCCTTTCCCCCTGGAACAAAGTGCTGTAGCAGAGTGGATAATGTGGGAAGCATGGATGATCTTTCTAATAGCAATGAACTTGATTCTAATCATTTTCTTTGCTTCTGTACAATGCGTATCCAAGCGTAATCTTGACATGTACAAATTTCACGGTTGTTCTAAGGAACTGAAACAGAATGTGCTTCACTTCTTCCCTTAAAAAGTCTGATCTAAAGAAGACGCAGTAGAAAGATATGTAAATCGATTTTGGCATGAAGGGAATGCCTAAAAATGAGTCTTTCCATGTGTACTGATACCATTGTAGGAAAACCCAGCCCTCTCCTTGAAAAATGAAATATCCTGGGAAATATTGAAAAGGGAGAATATTATATTTCCCTGGATCAGAAATGGAGAAACATGTTTTTAGGTAGGAAATGGACTCACTCTTAACAGCCCCCACCTTTGTCAATGGGCCATTAAAAACATAACAAAGATCACCTCCCTTCAGCTCCACTGTGATGGGATTAAGGCATGATAGTATTAGCCCTTTACCCATCTCACCACAGGGCACCTGGGAAAAAGCAATGCTCAACAAACTTGCACTCACAGCACAACCTAAAGAGTTACCCCTGCATGTCCCTATGGGATGACAACCAATCAGAATACAAGATCAGGTTCAAAGCCCAGAGAGGGCATAAAATCAGGGACTTTCAGCATCTCGGTTTCTTTTCTTCTTCACCCAACATCTGGAAGCATGTGATCATCTTTTCTGTTCAGGAGCTCAAGCCATGTGATCCTGTTCACCATTAAACCATTTTTCCAAGCAGCCTCCATATTTCTAGTGTCTTTTTCCCCATTTGGAACTGAACCCAGAAGGACATTTCTTCCAGCACCCTT